GAATACAGATACAAAAAACACTGGATTTCTGCCTTTTACTGCTGGATCATTAATAGAGAATTAAATTGAGCTTTGCTCATCAAGGCAGAACTTGAGCTTCCTCTGAGGATGCTTGAAGTGATCTAAACAAGATAACTCTAAATGGTATCACATAATAATCTTTGGCATTTTCAAGAAAAAAAGAAATTTGCCATTAAACTCAGATTTTTCGCTGATTCCACTCAGAACGGTTCTTTCTGTGAAAATGTCTGGTTTAACTCAGACCATTTAGTTCCCCCCTCATCTCTGCTACTTGTCAATTTATAGTCATGAATCAGATAAAGCCTGCACTGCCATCTGGTGGAAAGAGTGAAAAAAAATAATAAAAAAGCATGGCACAGCACAGAGCTGTTACCATAAGTGTTTTAGGTTTACACTTGCACCTCAAGAACAAAGGACACACCTTTGGCAAACAAAATGTTCAGATTTTGCACAGAGAGGACAGATGGTTTGAAAGAGGGGAGAAGAAATCAGTCTTTGTTAAAAGAGAAAAGCCACTGAAAAGATGAGAAGGATTGAGGTTTCAGTTCCAAACATCTACAACTTGATCATATAACGCATCCCAAAGAAATTACAATAACAAAATAACACCTCAACAACCCAGGAGAAGGAGAGGCGTGTCTTTGATATATATCTAAATTGGAAGATGCTTAGGAGGATGGACCCCATGCTGCTAGGTAGTTTATTTAAATTGAATAATAATTCAATCTGAAAAACTCACACAAAGAGAAAAGACAACTAATTGATGCAATTAATTGAAGCAATTACTCTGTATTTGGCGCTCAGACCTCAGCAGGAAACATAGTGCTGAATTTTGATAGATATGCATGAACAGAGTTAAAGAACAGGGCTGTTTCCCCCTAGGCCTGAAACTGGTGGTGGAGTGGAGATAGATCAAGTTGGTCAGTCTGTAGACTGCTGTTTAGCGAGACGGTCTGCTGAGCTTTATGGGGAAATCCAGTGGACTGCGTGAGTTGACACTAGAGCTTCACTCAGGGACTAAGCCAGAAGTCACAAGTTTTTTAACGACTTGACTTTCTATAAAACTACAGTTTACCTCAACCTAGTTCAAGGATACAGCAAATCTCCTTCCATTCAAAATGCTATCTGGGGAAAAGTAACACTTCACCTCACCCTTGAAAGAGAAATATTCCCTCTAAGAAAACTGATTGTGAAAACATGTTGGGAGTATGGTTTTCTTAAACAGTAAGATTAAAGTGAAGTTTAACAGAATTCAGTGCATGAATAAAAACTGTTAAATGAGGGTAAAAACCTCCTGGGGCAGAATTTCGCTTTCTGACAGGTCAACAATGGACATTGAGCAGACCTATAATAAATAATTTAGATTATAGCATATATTCATAACTTAACCTTATCAAAGTCAAGACCTAAACCTTAGAAATTCTGACAAGATTTAGAAACTGCTGTTAAAGGTGCTCTCCAACCACCGGAGTTGAAGAAAAACAGTAGCCAAACATTTGAGTTGCAAAGTTTTAGACATATTTCAAACTGTTGTAGTTATTGTGATAAAAGAGGGTTATATAAATATTATCTCAGGGGGTTAAATACAAATAAAAGCTGTATTTTCCAGGATTATTAAAATAATTTCCTTCCACTTAACATTATGCACTACCTTATGTTGATTTATCACATAAAATCCCAGAATTACTGTAAAGCGAGTGGGTTTGATTTCAAAGAGTTTAAATTCTTTAGCGAGGCAGTGCACCCAATGGAAATCATTAGTTTACATGTTGCATTTTCTCATTTGCAACTGGACAACTTACCAGAACACATCCAAAGATCTACTTGAGGATCAACAAGTTTCTTATTATGAATGAAAATATAACAAGAACCGATCATAGAAAAGGAAAAATATTATGAAAATTATTTGATGCTACCTTGAGTAGATAACATAGAACGAGAGGTTTAACAAACCACTGGAAACAGATATATTGGGAGTGTGGTTCTGTTCTGTTCTGTTATTATGCTAAAAAAAAAAAAAAAAAAAAAAAGATTTCCATTATAAGCCCTTCAAACTGTTAAAATGTGGAAGTTATGTCCCCTTGAAGGCAGTTGCGCCTTTGGACTTCCCTTCCGGTTCTTTTCCTGGGACCAAGTTATTTACTACTCTTAACTCAAACTGGGGGAAACCATATAAAAAAGGACTATAAAAACAGGAGTAAAAAAGTAACAGAGTTTATTCCAGATCACGTCGTTACAGGACAGAGAAAAATACTTGGAGGTGGGACAGCTGTGGGCTCAAAAACGTCAGCGAGCGTCCGGCAAAGATTGAGCCCCGAACAAGGTCATCTTCTCCTTTTTATACCTCATGAGTCTATGTGTTGTATCATGTGGGTGTTTAGCTCTCAGTATCAGAAACTGACACGCCATCCATGCCCTGACCTGTATGCCTCTATGCCCAAGAATTACAGATAGCTTCCCTTTATCAGACCAGCTCCAAGATGTGCCCATATCCTGCGTATCTTTAAAAGACGAGAAGGCTGTCCTATTTAGATGTCCTCCTTACACACAGTGACATCCACAATGTGAAGGAAGGCCTTCTATTCTCTCTAATCTGGCTAACAAAGTAACAATGCACATGATGTATAAAAGAATAAACCTAACAAAACTTCTCTCACCAGGTTAGCATTAAATATACTTCAACATGAAAAGCAGTGGCAGAGACAATCAGTTTTCTGAGGAGTCAGTTTATTTTAACCCTACATAGACATGGGGTGAAAAAGAAAACAAAAAAGTTCTTGAAGTGGTAAAAAAGGGGTCAATCTTATACAAGTCTCAGAACTATCCATCAAACACAGACCACAGATCAATTATTCAGATTTTTTAATATAACATTTTGTTGTAATGCTGTGTGTACATACAAAATATACCAAACTAAATAAGGCAAATAAATAGAGGTACAATGTACAGGAACAATGGAACATTCCTCAATGTTTTCATCTTCTTTTTAATCTTATCTCACACATCAACAAAGGTGTACAAAATGCTTCTCTTTTTTTTTCTAACTGTACATCTTTCAGTGAAGGATTTTTTTTGTGTGTGTGTTTTAATTTCCAACGGTAAAAAATACGGACTTCTCACAATTATACAAACTTGAAGAATGGGTGCAACTTTTCTCAGGCAGTACAGACTGTGGTGTAACAGGTGGGTTGCATTTTGCAAGCAATGTTCTTTTAAGAGATCAACAAATCACTTTGTGCAACCTTCTGTAGGCATGCAGATCAAATCCTTGTGCATGTAAAGACAAACATAATGGTGACAGAACCCCAAAGAACCTCGAGGCAGTTTTCTTTTTTTTATCGTTTTTCCACATCCTGTTCCTGCCACTCAGACATACTGTCATTTTGTTTCCGGCAGACCAGCCAGCATCCTCATCCTGACTCCCCTTTTCTACACGCCTTTCTGTAAGCAACACCTTTTTGCTGCATCCTTTTTGTCTTAAGCGAGATCAGATCCCTCCAAACTGTTGCTGCCATTAGAAATGTCCCATCATCATTGTTATAAAAAGTGCATTGAACAAGCTACTAATTACTTTCCTCTGATTTCCATCTTTACACTTCAAAAGAGCCAGTCAATGGCCAAATAAACATCCAAAAATGTAACAAAACAAACACGTATTAATACTGACAACTTTTCACTATCTCTCAATGTATTCTCTGTAATATGGGTTAAAGCTCTGAATGAAGATGTTTAGAACGGTTTGCTGAAGTCTGGTATACTGACTGATAAACAGCAAGAGGAAGGAAAGCAGAGGTTTAAAATAAAAAAGCTCAATGATACATAAAGATGCTGGTTTAAGAAGATAATTCCTCTTTTTGGTTTTAAAGTGTCTAAATTCAGTTTTAAGGGTTCATCTCAAAAGATTGTGCCTCATTGCTCCATCTCAATTTCTCTTTAGTCTGCACAAAAAGAAACAAAACATGACTGCAAAATGATGAGGTGTCTGGTGACAAAACTTAATAAATTAAAGCTAAGGGGGATTATCTGCACATTATACAATCAGTCACAGTTAAAATAAAGGTTTTGGAGGCGATTGTTTAGTACCTGGAGTTGGCCTCATATACAAATCAACTGCATCATCTTTGACCACAAGATGGCGCCAGTTCTTCTTGACCTGCAGTCATTTTGAAAGCCTTTAAAAATAAATTCTGAAAGCCACAAGAACTAAAACACAGAGGAATGATTTGTGTAGAAAAAAAAAAATCTGAGGCACTTATAGGTGAACAATTACAAATAATCAGCAGATGTGAGAATCTGGGTTAAGGTCTAAATTTAGACTTCTCTTTGTACTTTAACTCATGACTTCTCTTGGATTCCGATAAGCACGGTATGTTATGCGTCTAATATAAATATATGACAACGAATTGTTGAACATACAATTTAACCGTTGCTATGGAAACAGCTGTTTCAATAATAAAAATTAAATCAGCATGTCTTTGGCAATGTCTTCAGCCTGTCTGAAATGAATGGAGTTCAAATGTCTTAGTGTTGCACTCTGATTGCAGTCTCTTCAACACCTCTTAAACTGGTCCTTACTAGGGATTTACATTTAGATTAATAAATGCTACATTTGATGAAATCTAAACTGGTTTATCTCAGTCAAGGCATTTAGATCTGGTTTGACAACTCACAAATATCTTCTACACCTCAACTTTCCCATTACTGACTGCTCCAGATTCACCTTTTTTTGTCTCCAACTCTGACAGGTTTCCTTTTCTCTAGAAAATGTAAAAAACAGTTAGACCCAGAACTAATTGTTGCAACTTACATGATTCCTGCTGCTGAAAGATTGGAAAAGCTTATGCACATGAAGAAAATGTACACTGAAACTGGACTATCTTAAAAAAAAAGGATACTTCTTCCTTTTACTTGGCAACCAGCTGCACAAAATAAGCAACTAAAGAATGTTTGGGTCTGGTTGGTGTCCAGTAATTCATACAGGCCCTTTTTAAGTCCTCTGTACCCTAATACAACAAGAAAAGCCTCTTTGCAATGTAAAGTTTGACACGGGCATCATAAGCTATCAAAAATGTGTGCGATTCAGGGATAAAACTGCTAATAGCGTCAGATTGGAGCGTTCAGGCTACAAAAAGTGACAATACTGTAAAATGACTAAGAGTGACATTTAAGGGTTTAATGCTTCACGGCCTTCCTTCAACAGCCATTGGCTGGTGTTTATATTTGAGTGTTTGTCAAAAAGAAGCTCAGTGCAAACAAGAAACAATGGAGCGAAAAAGGACATCTACCTCACAATCGTTTAGCACTAAATGTTAAAGAAATTCACTTCAACAGCAATGCATTGTGTGTACAAAATCCCAATATGCCGAAACGTAAAAAAACACTTCTACATCTTTGCAATTAGCTTGTTGCATCTACATATAAATATATATCAACGCCTAACTGCTGAATATTTACTGTCAACACATTTACATTGGTTTTATGTCTCTACTTTGGCACTGCTTCATGCCAGAAAGGTTTTGAAACTGTTTGAAAGTATAGTTGAGGCTTAGATCTTGTGGCACAATCATTGTCAGGGTTTCTATGTGAGCAGTTGTTTGTTCCCTGGTTAATTTGTGGGTGGGATCTTCTTGGGGACGCTGTCCGAGGCCTCCTGTAGGAATCCATTGTTATGAAGCAGGAGATTTCTTGACTTCATACCCGTTGACGTATCATCTGAAGTTTGCGAAGAGAGGTCCATTCTGTGGCTATAAAATCTTGTTTTCCTGATTGAAGAAGCACCAAGACTGAGGGCGTAATGGCTTAAATCCCCTTTATCTCTCTTTTGTGTTTTGTTTCAATCTGCCAAACTTCACCAGTTTCAAAACTTTCCTTTTGGCGTCTAAGTACGAGGTGACTGTAGAGAGTTCTGATCCCGATAACCACACTTCAGCACCATAGAGCTTTTTAGATGAACAGAGAGGGTTTCAGAGGAAGAGCAGGAGTGATCAACAAGAGGAACCTGAAGCACAGTGTTAAATGGAAAGTCAGATGAAGTGGGACAATGTGTCACAGTGGTCTGTCCATCCATCCGTCCATTCATCCACCCAAACTGCAGGGACAGACTGGTTGGAACATCTTTAGAAGATCAATCTGAAGGGAGTGTTTTTTTTTTGACACACCGTGTCTCTACAAGTCCAGTCCAGCTGTTACTAACATCTGTTCCAATGGAAGCCATGACAGTTAGAAGATCTGGGCTAAACTTGATCTCCGCCATGGCGTATTTGAGATTTTTTGAAAGAGTTTTGCCTTTTAAATCTACTTCCATTTTCCAGCCTTAGTAGTTCACCTTGGTGACGGCTCTCTCCCGGCCACCACCTTCCACTAGCTGGTTGACGGAGCGCTTTCGGTTTCGCTTGAACTTGTTAAGGTCCTTGTCAAAGACCTCGCCGGAGCGTAATGCAGAGACAAGGTCGTCAAACTCTCCGCCAACCTCCTCCGTGGCCCCGCCCTTCTTTGCCCGCCGTTCACGCTCCCTCTGCTCCTTCAGCTGGAGAAAGATAGAAACGGTTATTGCAGAGAAGAAGCTAGAAGTAAACATAGTCAGCCATAGTTGCTCAGGAGTATCTCACCATGGCCTCCATCCGTGCCCTCCTCTCTTCTTCATCCTTGCGCCGCTGCATGTTTTCCAGGTCCTGCCGAGCTTCACTAAATGACTGCAAGAAGGTATCAAAGATCCCAAAGAAATCATCGGGCTGCATCCTTCCTTCTTCTTCCCCAAAGTGCTTTAGAGATTTGGCAAACTACAAAGAAAAAAAAAAAAAGAGAGTGACATTAAAATAGATGCATGGGCTGTATCTTATAAAATGACCCAGTTCTTCTAGAAACAAACCAAATGGTCATGCATATGCATGCCCACTCAAATAAATTTTGCCAGTATGTGCAAATAAAAAAAAAAAAAAATCTTAAGAGCTAAAGGAACACACACAGTGTAGCAGGGCTGCATGATTTGACCACCGTATGTCCACACAGTCACGTTCCAAGCTGTTCAGTGCTTGGTGCCAGGGCGCTGCCTGTAGCCAAGCATTCCTACACAGTCGGCTCTGTTCTGCACTACACATACATCCATAATTAGAAAGAACTTTGGTCCACTATTTTTCTGATGTATAGCTTTATAAGCCACAGAGAGAGATACATTTTTAAATACATATAAAGTAAATGCTTTCTTGATATCTTAAGCTACACTAAATGAGCATTTAGGAAGTTCTGGAAGTAATTTTGCCAGAAAAATCACAAAATCTCTCGTTTGTAAAAGTCTTATTTTCTGTATGTGGTCTCAACACTATGTTACAAAACGCCGTTGCTCTTTCTAAAAAGGCTAAACCATCCTGTCATTATGGGCCGGGTGTCCATGACAACCCCACCATCATCCCTCCCCTATGTATGTAATTATGTATCTGGTCAAAAGTGTTTCCTCTGGTCCCCCTCGGGGTCTGAGCTAACTGGATAAACAGAAACATCCAATAAAGGAATATGATTTTCTCAGTGACAGACAAAACAAAAACACAGCAAAACGTTGTTGTCCTGCACTCTGGCAGCATTGGGGACAAACTCACATTTGAGGATGTGTTAAAGTATTATAGGAAAACCCAGATGGAGAAAAAAAATATTGTTCTAACATTTGTAAAATGCTTGCACTATAAAAAAGTTGTCTATTAAAAGTTAATTAAAGCTACAAAGGTTGATCAGAACTTTCATAAAACAAATGTTTAAAGTTTGGCTTGATTTATTCTGTGTGCAAAATAAAATATCTACGTATATTTTTAAAAGCTTAAATGTAGGTGTCTTATATAAATTTTGGGCAGATCTGCTTCTCTTTGATTGTCTTGCTTTAATAGATTAGTATCATAATTCAGCTAAATAAATATTTGTTTTTAGCATGCAAACATTTACAGAATATTTGGACATGTTATTTACCTCCCTTACCCAGAAAAAAAACTATATACATGACCAAACAGCTGGCATACAGGTGAATTAAAATGATTAATACCTGCCACAAACTTTATGTTTGAGTGACTTGGAAAAGCAGATAAAGGGCGTGCTCTCTTGAGAAATTAATTAATTGTCAAGCTTCTTGTTGCTTAATTGTTAAGATATTATTAACAAATAATATTATCATATATTATAACTGCAAGGACTCTTGATCTTTAGAATTTTGCCAATAGAAGTGTGGGAATTAGTGCCCAAATCTGGACATCTATAGGTGTATAATTTTGGCTTTTAGGTATTGTTTTTGGTTTGAATTGTTGATTATGTACTTTTGATTTTAATTTAATAAAATCTTATATTTGCTTTAAAATTAATAAAGCAATTAATTCCATGACCCCTGGAAAAAAATTGAAATAATTTCAAAGAGCAACTGCTACTAAGCTTAAATATTTTGAGTGAAGTTGACCGAGTTGATTAATAAACTATGATAAACTAGAGGAAAATGAACAACAGATCTTAAATTTGACTCTCTGATTAGTATAAAGTAACAATAATAAAGAATATATTTGAGATGGACAAAAACAGACAGTTAACTTTTTTACATGCACAGCTTTACATGGTACAATGTATACAATTAATACAAATGTAAAGAGGAAAGACTGCATCCACTTAGACTTGACTCCTATTATTTCATTAGAAGCTGATACTAAGATTGCTGTACTCGCCTTTGATCATGTAAACAAAAGATTAACATCTATAAACATTACATATAAGTCAATTGAATATAATAGAAACAGGCTATAGATTACATAAAACATATTTCACATGGCTAACAACAGAACTATAATATGGAGTACAGCCTCTCAATCTGTAAGCTTTCTTCTAATAGTTGTCAATTTTGTGAATTAATTACCAAAATTATCCAGTTTTTGGCACATCTCCCTGTATTATTTCGGCCAAACTATTAGACGCCTTAGGAACCTAACTTGCTCGGTCTTCTGGTGCTGCACTCTCCTAACTCCATGGCTCTGCTTGTTTCTTTTGCAGACTCATGCATCTGTTGCCATGGAGATTTATTAGCCTCAGCAGGCTGATCTGTTTGGTTATCCTCCGCCTTCCTAAAGACCAAACACACATCCTGACATCCATATTTGTACAGTATTCCAGTGGAAATCCAGCCGGCCGTCAGAGGATCCTGACAAACACCCACTTACCAACCACACAGACATACACAGCTGTGTGTTTGGAGACTGGGCCGGCAAACACAGGTTCTTTTGTTTTACCACACTGACTGGTGCCCTATTCTTCCCAGTTCGTCTCCCATGACGTCCAAACTATTTTCCCTCCAATTTTCACTCCTCATTGAGCAAATAATTAACCAGAAGGGAGGCTCTACATGAAACCCCTAGGCCTGGTCTACTTTCTTTTTCTCCATCTGTCTTGCAACCTGTTGACTGTTCTGAGAAAAACAGCTGTTCAGGTCTTCAACGCTGTCATTAATTAGAGAGGATAGATGAACTACTACAATGCAAAGTCTGTGCTAAAGAAAAAGGGTGTAAGATTTAGAAGCATTGGGCTAAATGTGAACTGGCACAGCATCATCTTGCAAATTAACTATGTTCCCATAAATCTTTTCAACACAGTCTTACTCCAACATTCCCTCAGTCCCACTGACGTCTTCAGCTGACACACTTTCTACCATACATCAGAACTGGAGCCAGCGGAGTTCAAAAGGCCAGTTGTTCCACTTGTAAATGCAAGGGGAGCGGATTTAAAAGACTAACTCAAAGACACACAGAGAGGACATAAGAGGGGAATTCCTGGCTAATCTTTCAATTTGGGTTTTCCAAGCCGGGCTAAAATCGTACCACCGGATTCAGAGTAATGTCCAGAGGCTTTACGGTTCTCAGATTACACGTTTTCGCTTTATTCCTCCAGTTGTCAGACACAGGGGTGGGTGGAAGAGGATGACTAGCTTTGGATGTATAAAAACCATCCACCTGGATGTTTAACCATACACTTGTTTCTTAAACTCAATACGCCTGGTGATGTATAATCATCCGTTTTCCACCACGCTTTATCACCTAGATGGGTCTATCTCCAGCTGTCTACGGGCGAGAAGTGGGGTACGCCCTGCACAGGTTGCCAGTCCATCGCAGGACAACACAGAGACAGACAAGACAAACAAGCATTCACGCACACATTCACACCTAATGCCAGGCATGCACTGTGCAATTTTTTGCCCTTTTCGGGAAGATTTTCCATTTGTGTGAGAATTCTTCGGTCGGCCCGACTTTCAGCCTGATCGTGCGTCGTGTACCGTGTAGTGTACAGGGGATAACGAGGGGGCGATTAGCCTCTCATGACCAGGAATCGTGAGGTCGTGGACAAATCGCTCAGTGGGCATTCGAAAACAAGGATTCTTCTTCTTCCTCTGAGACGAAAACATAGAAGAATGGCAGGGGTGCGAGTGAAACTGAGTTCTTTCTGTAAAATTTACAGACCGTAGTAGCTACTTTTTCTCAGCCGTGTCTTTGTCCAAATACGTCTTTGCCTTTTCTTTTTAGGGCTTTTAGCACAAAATTGCACAAATTGCCAAGGCAGCGCGTTTCACTCTAGTGAGCTTCATATTCTTCTTCTACTCGTTTGGCTTCTGTATGAACGAGTCTGAGTAGCACCACCTCACTGCGGAGAGCGTCGAGCCGCACAGTTTTAGAACGTGCATCATGAGCTGTGAACTCACACTTTACGACGAAACCCTTCGGTTTAGTCATAAAGTGTTAGCTGTAGCTGCGTGCAACGATTGAAAAAGAAAATCGCACAGTGTTTGCCCAGCTTTAGGAGAATTTAGAGAAGCCAATTAACCTAACAGTCATGTTTATGGACGATGGGAGGAAACCGGAGTACCTGGAGAGAACCCACCCATGCTCAGGGAGAGGATGCAAAATGCATGCAGAAAGACCCCGGGCCGGGAACCAAACCTGGGACCTTCTTGCTGCAAGGCAGCAGTGCTACCCACTGCTCCACTGAAATCCTAATTTAAAACTAAGGTATCCACAAAACTCACATAAAAAGAAAACTGATGATATCACTTAATGAGTTTGAACATAGAAAGTTGAAGGGTTACCTTTTCCTTGGCTTCACTCAGCTGATCCTCCAGTTCAGAGAAACTAAACCCAGCCACAGTGATGAAGTCACCGATCACAGCCACAAACTTGTCGCCACGTTCCCTCGTCCTGCTCTGCTGGTAGTGCAGCTCCTGGTGAGAAGCGACACGGACACAAGCTGTGAAACATTCAGTCTGAAAGCTGCTAACTGTAAGTTCACCAAAGGCTGAAATACTTTTTTTTTTTTAGCCTTCTGTCTGTGTGGCACAGCCCTGCTGTCGAGCTCCGAACATTACCAGCATTTAAACACCTCAGCAAGCTGTTCATCTCTGCTTCGGCTCGAAAACATAATTACAGGCAGAAGAACCAGCGGGAAGGAGAAGAAATATAATGCAACACAACTCACCGCCTCGAGAGCCTTCAGCCCGCTTTTGATGTTGTGCACTTCTTTTTCCAACTCTGACAAACTGAGGAGTGAGAAGATTAACAAATGTTTGCTGTTATTAATCATTCACTCTATAAATCAAATCATCCTTCAGAGCACAGCTGGCTCTGTTGGTATTATTAACTAAACTGAAACTTCTCAGGGTTTCTGTATGCTTACTTGACTTTGGCCGCCTCAGGCACGCTCCTGAGGTCTTCCTGGATGTACAGCGTGTCGGGGTAGTTCTTCTCGAAAATCATGATCAAGTAGTGCAACATGGTGATATTCCTGTCACATGAAACCAGTGTTTTATTACATATAATTTTACATGTTATACTTTCTCCTGTCTATGAAAATATCAATACTTTCTTACTGTCTTTTAACTCTGTACTTCAAAGACAATTAAAAACACTGCACTGAAAATAGGTAGACAGGAAACTTTAAGTAAGATTAATGGAAAAAAAGTATTTTTGAGTTATGAAAAATTTATCACACCAACAATCCTGCACCAAATGTATTCAATGGCTAATGTACAGTTATTCCTTAAACTTTTAAAAACTCTTAAAACTTTGCTTTAAGTATATTTTAAATAAATAGTACAAAATGTGATTAATATTTTATAAACATGTAGAAGTTCATAGTGTCTACAGTACGTCCTGACTCACCACTCACCATGTTTAATGACGATTGTTTTCTATTATGTGCATTAATCTCTATTGTTGATGGTTTACTGGTTTACCGTAGAAGTTCTGACAGCAATCGCTACTGAACATGGCTGAAGTTAACTTCTTTATTCATATATGGAAAAGTTAGCACCTTTTTGCGTTTTTCACATCTGTGTTTATGTTTATGCATTTAGCAGACGCTTTTATCCAAAACGACTTAAAAAATAGACACAATTTTATGTTATAAATATGAACATAAGTTCCCTAGATGAAAAATCCCCAGTTAGAATCAGTGGGGAAAGCAAAGAGAGAGAGAGAGGGAAGTGCAGAAAGAGAAGGCGAGAACATGATATTTTTAAGCGACACTATGTGGAGCATTTAGTGATTTAGCGCTAAATTTAAAAAAAAGTTGGATGTTGGGAGGACCGTGGCAACCAGCGGACCTCTGAGGCTAATTTTAGTCTGTCTGCAGCAGCCCTCTCTCGGCATAGCGGTGTGTGAAGAAACGCTGGCTCTGATGCAGAGTTTCTTTTTTTATTTGGTGAAATTTTCATTTGATTTGTGTTTATCTCACTGTGTTCATTATTATTCCACCACTAAATGAACAAAGTAAGAAGTAGAGACTATTAATAACAGGAGGCGAAATGCAGCTCCAGACGAGCCGAGCATGTGGTGACGTCATGAGTCCACACTTTCCTGTGTTATCTAATAAACATACTTGGCGAGGACACAAGTCCGAACTCCGGTTCTTGTGAATTGAAAAAAAAAACCTGGCCTGAGTAGTCTAGGGTTAAAGGAGTGCGCTGCACTGCAATCAGACCTCGACCGCACATATCTTGGTTGTGCATCAGCACACTGTGTCCTTAAACAATGTGAGGACTGAGTCTGGCTTTGTTTAGTATTTAATCCAGATCTGGATCAGACTCCAGATTTAGCATCCGTATAGAAGTTTTAGTAGCCATAGTAAATAATCTATCATATGGAGCAAACTATGCATCTCTGATTGAAAAACTGTTGGTCTGAGAAACATGGTCTGTATATATTTTACTTTTATTTTGAACATCTAAATCATGTTAATCTAGTAATTAGAGCTTTCATTGTTCATTTGGTTGGATTCTTATTATTAATCTACACAGGATGTATCTTTAAAGTTTCTAAGGATTTTAGCGTGCAGGTGGCTCAACGCAGAATACAGTAACTGAGTAGCTAAAAGAAAAGCTTTAGGCCTACTACTAATTTTAATTGGTGCAAACACGTAGTATGTTTTAAGGAATAGAATAGAATGTGAAAATGCATTCTAAATATTAACCAGCATAGTGTAATTTAAATTAATTGATAGAGTCAAATTAATATAACTTGCTGCATTTTAACTATGATGCATAGGTTCTGCCAGAGAAGAATGCATCGATCTGTGAAGAATGTTGATCTGAGAAGAACATTGATTGTGCCAGACCAGCTTCAATTTCCAAAAAAATAAAATACAGCGGTGACATGCTCTAAAAACCTCTTACATTTAATGCAACATTTGCTTCAAATCATCAAGACTACTTGTTTTTTTTCTGTCTGTGTATAAATTGTTGTCAGGTTACCATAGCAACACATCTCTAAATAGCAGCTAGGCCCTCAGGAAGTGACAAGATAATTATAAAAATGGCATGGATCTGAATACATCAATGCTCTCAGGTATACTCATGAATATACTGTGCCCAGGGTTGTATTGTATAAAGTTTCATATGCAGGATCCAAAACCTCTTTTAGTTCCAGAGTGCACAGAAGAATTAGGTCAGGGAGGCAGTGGAGTAAGAATGCTGAGCTTCACTTCATCTCCCCGTTTCTATAAAGATGCATCCGAGTCGCTTATATCCAGGCCAATAGCTCCTGTTTCTGTGGCAACATCAACTGTACTGACAGCATCTCATTGTAAAGAGAGGAGAACTCCCACATGTCTTCACTGTGCTGGAGCAGTTTTATGTTTTTCTGTCAATTTCTTTCAAACCTCTGATGTTGTCTTTTGGGGAAAAGAATGAACGGTGGATAAATGTGTGAGCAAAGCGTGTGGAGGTGCTGAGAGAGCAGAGACACAGTATAGTTTCTAAACTGTTTAAATTTGCCGATAAAAGTTTAAAATGTTTTTTAGTTATTCAAATAAGGATTTTAATGGTATTCTTTTAAGGGAGGCTTAAACTTCACAATTGTTCTTTAGATCTATTTTGTACTATTAGCCTGTATTTTGTGTTTTGATGGTGTTCCTGATATTGTTTATATCTTTTCATTTCATTTAGTGCAAAGCACTCTTCATTAATCTGGGTGGAAAAATACTAGAATAATATTTCCTGCCTTGTCCTTATTCTTGAAGTTATATAGAAACTCAAGTTTAGGTCAACTGAAATGTTTATTTTTTTTATTAGCGATTGAAAAAATCCTTCTCCTCCATGGCCTACCTGTCTATGCTCGACTTGGTGTCAACGATCTTGTTCAGACTGGAGACCTTGAATCCAAAGGCGTTCCCCCGCTGGCCTTTATTCATGAAGTTTCCAAAGGCCAGCACCACCTCCAGGACCTGAGTCAGACGCTTGCTCCGGACCACTTCTACAGAGGCATTGAGGATGGCTACAGGAAAACAGAAAGAGGAAAACCAGCTGCTGAGATCATAGTTTAAACTTGTTCAACTTTGGATATTACATAACAAACTGGGCTTCAATTATTCCTTCCCCTCTGTTAATTTACTCAAACACCACAGAGACACAGGAACTCCAAATTCCACCCTGTGTTCCCCCAGAATTTCCTTTATTTTAACGTCATCGACGATGAGTGATCGGTGTTCTCCGCAAAAACTGGGCGGCTTGGTGCTAAATGCATCCCATCCTTCCATCCGTCAGTAAAAACAGCAGGGGAGGAAAGGAATATACCGAACACGAGCCAACAGTGTCCGTTTTATTTCCCCTGAGGACAGACTGTCTGGCGAAGTGCAGGTGGTTCCCCATTTCCACAGAGGGAACTATGAGTGTGACTGAGAAAATCATTAGCAAACATCATATTGTTATGGTTACACTTTCTTTGTGCTGTGATTGAGCATGGGAACTGTTCGTCTGGCTCCAGCTGATGGAGCTTTCTTCTTCTGATGCTCCCATTGAGCAGGCTGGGTGGTCTGCAGACTTACAGTCTAATCTGCAGTATGTGACAAAGTTACATGAATAATAAAACCAGATTCTTTTTTACTGCGGACATCGATGGCCGGTGCGGTCAGGGGGAGTTTTTTTGGATCCAAAAACAGCAATTGTAGAGGTTTCTTTTTCCGCGCCAGCACAGAGCGAGATGTATGTCAGAATATATTACCCCGACCTCAGACCAGAAGGAATCGAGTTTCTGACAAGAAATGCTGCAGCACAAACAGGAATGAACTGTCAGTGCAAATAAAACTGCCGACAATAATACTGTGATGTTCTCATCAAAGCAACCCTAGCTCTGAACGCTACAGCTCCATACTGGAAAGCTCCCCCCGACATCTTTGAAGTGAGATTCAGGGTTCACAAGCAGATGCTGTCCTCTCCAAACATGAGCCAGCTTTCCAAAACAGCCTCCGTGGTAACAAGGATGCTGGCAAGGGGAGGGGAACAATGCATAAAAGCAAAATATAGCTGACCAGTATGCACTCACACATGCATATACTAACTGGACTACTTGAATGAAAAGCTCATTGCCCCATAATATACGTCCAGACTCATGATATAATTTTGAATTTTTCTTTTTCTGCTCACAAGTAGCAGAAAGTTATGAAAATATCATCTGTTGGAAAGTTGGGCCACAAATGAAATGACAGCTGCATTATTTTCCCCTGTAAACCCACACTGAGGTCTCATTCTAACCACCACCTTAGGAGAGTGTTCACATCCCCTTACTTGTTTAAATTCCATGAATTTACAACCGTAAAATTTATAGTAGATGAGGATCAGCACCTCCAGAACTGAGGCCATAGCTCTCCACCGGAGAAAGTTGGACTCCCCTCTTGAGGTTGGTGGAGAGTCCTTGTCTCAAGTGGAGGAGTTCAAGTATCTCAGGGTCATGTTCACGAGTGAGGGACGGATAGTGCGTAAGATTGATAGACGGATTCGTTATGCATCAGCAGTGATGTGGTCACTGTAGCGGATTATTGTGGTGAAGAGGGAGCTGAGTCTGGGTTAAAACTCGGTTTAACGATCGATCTACGCTCCCCCCTCACCTACATGTATGGTCATGAGATCTGGGTAATGACCAACAGGACAAGATCACGAATACAAGCGACCGAAATTACCTTCCTTCAAAGGGTGCCTGAGCGCACCCTTCGAGATCGGGCGAGGAGCTCAGTTACCCGGGAGGAGCTCGGAGTAGAGTCGTTGCTCCTCCACATCGAAAGGAGCCAGCTGAGGTGGCTCGGGTATCTGTTTCGGATGCTCCTGGTCGCCTCTCTCAGGAGGTGTTCCAGGCATGTCCCATTGGGAGGAGGCCTCGTAAAAGGCCCAGGACACGCTTGAGGGACTATGTCTCTGAGCTGGGGTCCCCCCAGAGCAGCTAAAGGAGGTGTGTGTTGATCGGGAATTCTGGGCATCTTTGCTAAGACTGCTACCTCTGGGTCCCGGATAAGTGGAAGAAAATGGATGGATTTAAATTTTTTTTTATGCAAAACTATGTATTATAAATCGGCAAGGCAGTTAACATAAAGCTGCCCTAAAAAGAATCTCTGTTAAACCTAAAATGCATTCTGTACTTCCGAGCTTCTACCATCGCTAGGCACACGGTTTATTGAAATGTTCATTGATTGTTTATGTCTCCACACAATGTTTGTTGTTTGATTTTTAGACACACCTACATGTGAAAAAATCTGTCTGGTTTACCAGACTGTCTTGAAACAGATCAAGAAGAGCCTCTTACTGAAGACACTGTTCTTTTTTAACAATCTTCTGAAGATGACGCTCACTGTTGTCCATAATCTTCTTCACTTCATGAAGAATTCTTCTTTGTGAAATAATCTCCAGAGGTTGTAGAGGAGGACTTTTTTATTAGCTTGTCGAGGTTTTTAAGTAATTTGCTCTGATGGTGTTACCCCAGAAGATCTACAGTATAAGTCTCCAAAACATTCATATGGAAGATGTTTAGCATCTCGCTGCAAATACTGAAGGACCTAAGCTTCTTTAGGAAGGACAATCTGCTCTGTCCTTTCTTGTAGAAAGCTTCATACTTATGTCTCTAATTAAGTTTGTTGACTAGGTTAACACCAAGGTATTTATACTCCTCCACAACCTCTATTTATTCTCCCATGATAATAGTTAATAGTTTCTTCTGAATTATACAATCATCTCCCTGTTTTCTTGACATTTAGGATCTTATGAATGTTTTTGCATCATTTCACAAAGCAACTTCACCAGCTCCCTTTAATCCGCTTCTTGTTAATCTTTGATGCACCCAATGACTGGAGAGTATTCCTGCAGATGACCGCAGTCTGCATTGGACTGGAAGTCAGAGGTGTTCAGAAATTCTGGTTAAGTGTCTCCATAGATCCAGCTTAGTTGGAATTGTACAGACAGTTGCAGAGAATAGCAAGTGGCTATCCAGGCCCTATTCCTTTCTTTCTTTCCTAATGCATTGGACATCATACAACCTTTTTTTCCCATCAGAACAGATGCTAAGGTTTTTTTTTGGCATGCATTTGTATCTAGCCACTGCGTGTAATTCCATCTCTAAATAAACCCAGTTTTTTTTTTTTTAGGGTTTCTTAGAGGACAATAACAGATTAACAACTTTATAAAGCAGACAGGTCAAGGATAAGGATGTGAAGATTTTTGAGTTAGATGATACAAAAATATCCCAAGCTTTAAAAATCTCACAGAAACAGAATCACCCATTTTTCAAAAATAGGGAGAGTATGGCATAATGATAAACCTACTAAGACATGGCTGTTCGCCTGAACTGACAGGCTGTAGAGGGAGAATTAATCAGAGAATCAGAGACCAAAGTAACCATGACTGCAGAGATCCACGGCTCAGGTGGAATAAAATGTGATGAAGTGCAGAAATCTGACAGATTGTTAAATTATTGAGAAAAAGCCACAAGATGACCTGCTTGCTACATGTTTTATAGTGGTCACAACAAAGATGGGTGCTATAGTCAAAGGAGAACTTCTTTTTTTTAAAACAGGCCAAAATCTATTTTTGTAAACCAAAAAAAAAATAAAAAAATAAAACTAACTCTGCAAAACACTCTTAACCTGCCCTCCCCACCAGCAGATAAATCTGTGGCAGCACCAGACTTGTTGACTGGGATCCGAGTTGATTATTGGTGCTCGGTTCTGCCTATTGTACCAAAAGTACAGTGATAATGCAACTCTCCAAGTGTTGATTCCTTCCAGCTTTTCATGTAAACTGCCTCCTTAAATGATACCAGACTTAATTTATTTTAACATCTATGTGTTTGCTCTTTCTCAGCAAAGGCTTGAGATGAACCAAACCTGAAAACATAAATCACTGCTAATCGCTTTGAAATGCTGTGCTGTTTAGATTTGTATCCAAGTGGATCCTGACATTCTGCGATTTCATGCACATCTAGAAAGAACAATCTCAAGCAGTTTTTGTGCAGCTGTAGTTTGATGGTCCAGATGCTGCAGGAGTTTTCCAACAACTGCACCGCTTTGAGAAACGATGGGAAAGATCTGGCTTTAATCGGGTTTGATTGTAAAGATATCAGCAGCTCAGCAGCTGAATATTTAATAGAATTTTAATTTGATATGATCAAATCTTTCAACCATTTCAGCTTAGAATAAATATGAGAAACAACAATCAGCTTATTGTAGAAATATGCTCCATTCTACATGATAACCACAGAGACACTACCTTAGAGTTATGTTCAAGAACCACTGAACTATCGTGTTTGTCCTTACCTTCAACCTTAGGCTTGGTTTCAGCTAAACGCTCTGCAAACTTCTTCTTAAAGAAAAGAGCCTGTATTCTCTGCTGGTAGTGGTCGATTCTGATGAGGAGAACAAAGACATGAGAGGAGGAGACAAACAGAATAAAACGGGTCAGTTACATTTGTCTTTAGGGGAGCGAGACTTCAAAGGTAGGAGTCATTGGCTTGTGCAAAAGCCCCTTTCTCACTTTACACAGTTTACAAAAGCATGCACAGAGCTCCTGTCAAAAGGAAGAGATGACAAATGGGCCAAGGAGACTTTTAAAGAGGGACAGAACATATTAAATAGCCAAAAAAAAAAGAACACCTGCTGTGTTTCTCTGACCACAGAATGCAGTCAAGGAAAAAAAAGTGGACAAGGATATAGTTCCCTGAATTATCTTCATCTTTATACCATCTGACCGCAGCTCTTCCAGGACGGGTTTGATCAATTACAAAATCTAAACATCTAAACTAAACATTAATAACTCTATTATTATTAAATTATTATTAAATCATGATTAAAATAGCTACAAGTAAAACCATCTTTTAACTGTGCTTGCAAACAGGCTCCCACAGTATGATCCGTCAGTATTTAGACTAATCCCCCTTAAAAAAGGTTGAACAAGCTTTGCTTTAGAACGGAGGTCTTCAACAAGGGGTTCGAGAACCCTAGGGGGTCCATGGAGGTCCTGCATGGGGATCGCAAAAGTTTTGGTTTAGACTTTTTTTTATATTCCCTCCTCCAATTTTTTCCATTAATTGAAATGTCTTTAAATCCACATTAACATGAATTCAACACACTGTAGTAAACAGATAAATGGAGGCAGAAGATGTCTTTCAGTCATCAATGCTCACATTCAGCGACACACAGGAGCTCTTTCAAGCTGGGCACCGTTTCATTCACAACACCTGTCCCATCAGCCAGGAATCTGAGTCAGAAATACTTAAATAATCTCAGGTCAAAATTACTTTCGTTACATGACTCCATCTGTAATAGAGGGACTATAGGACCAGTTTGATATAACACAATTTCATACTACATATATAATTAGGGGGTCCCTGCTCCATCTCGCCATCAGTTTGGGGGTCCTTGGCCTGGAAAACATTGAAGACCCCTGATTTAGAAGGCCCCATCTAGGATTGAGCAATCACTGTGTCTTCATGAAAGCGTCCAGTCTTTAAATTATTAAAGGGGGACTGGAAAATAATTTTCCGAAAGTGAAAAAAATGATGGTAGACCTTTTCAGTCTGATTGGATTCTGATTGGTTGCTTCTGTAGGTGCCAAGAACAAGGTGCCAGCTTAGAGGGGACCCTGCTTTTGATCTTCCTAGGGCATAAGACAGGCCGCTTCACTCCTGGTTTAAGTCTCTTCTTACAGTAAGAACCATCTTTTTCTTTGGCTTTTGGCACAATCTGAAAGGTTTCACTTTGTTTTATTCTGTCTGTATTTTGTATTAAATATTTTCTTAATTGCATTGTATTTTATGATTGTGTACAGCACTTTGGTTGGTGTATAAAGTGCTTTATAAATAAAGTTGGTATGGTATGGTTTCACTCAGCCACGTCAGATTTCTGCATTAATTAAAACACCAGTAGGAACGACAGGAAGTTGGCTGAACATGGAAATCAAAGATGCCCTCTGATTAAAAAAAAGCATAGAATATTTACCTGCTCATCTCAAAGAGGAAGCGGTCAGCTCGGGCCATCCTCTCCAGCTCATGTTTGTGCTCTTCTAAAAGATCTATGTCACTTTTCTCAGGGACAAATTTAAGCAGCTGAAAAAGGCACAGAAACAATGTTTATTAGAAGCATCAAAGCAGAAGCCTGGGCTGCAATCAGCTAAAGTTAATCTCACTCAAAATCTTATGGAGACGTGAATCAGTTTCAGTGTTTTCTATCTACAATAGTGTTCAAATTTCTTCGAGAATTCATGTCCTCTTTAATTTAGAAATTAAACCTTGTTTAGTGGCATTCAATACTCTGCATCGTATCAAGCTGTCTACTTACTTTAATAAGATGTTTATGTTAATGTTGTGTTGTTAAAAAAACTGTTTAAAAAAATTACACTGAAACATTTGAATAAAATGTTTCTTGTTGGAAAAAAAGAAATTAATTTTATACCAATTTGACTTTATACATATATAACTATAAGCTAAAGAACTTCATAACACTTGGATTTAAAAAAGTTGGAGAGTAATCTGTTATTACATTCTAATTTAATTATATAAAAAAGGGATAATCCAGCTCCATGCTGTCTTTAAAAAAAAAATAAATTTGGCAAATCTAAGAACAGTTTCTCCTGTTAACTCTCTATTATTTACCAAATGTATTTGGTTGTTATGGTGCCTTTCTTCATGCTGAAAGTCCTACCTGCTCCAACATGTCTTTGGCCAGCTCTTCTCTCTCATCCATTTCTAGTATCGCCCTTCTGATTTCTTCATTTGTCATTTTCAACCTGCAGGGAAGCAAAACTTGCTTTAATGACATTAAATAGAAATAGAAACATGAGTGTCCTGACACTTTGGGGAAACTTCCTCCTGCTCCCCTCCTGAGAGCCCTGCCAGCTGTTTTTAGTGGTACGCGTGCCGAGCTGTGATCAATACCAGCATTGTCAGTATATGCATCACAGCTGTATTGACCATCTGCTGACCTGCTCTGGGTCAGGCTGTAGCTGCAGGGTCATTTCTTATTGACATGAAACAGAGTGCAGGGAGCGTGCCGCTTTTTTCAGATGCACAATGGACTCAGGAAGCCTGTTTATTGATCTGCTGAGTGAGGTCAGCACTAAACTCTCCAGAGGGGGCCCCAGACCGCTGTCACTTGGAGATTTAAATGGGGAACATATTGTCAAGTGGATCTTAAAAGACGGCAGTGGATTCAGCTTCGTGTTAGCGCGACCCCCTTTGAGAAAAAGGTCAACAGATGCATCTTTAATATGAGTCAGTGTTGACACTGATAGCACTTCACTGTTTAACTATTTAACAATGAACTGAATTTTATAAATTTTATCATCATCAATCACTACTTTCAGGAAAAAGAAATACTCGTGGATAAAAGCAGCTGACTTATTGTATGTTATGGCTTACACTGGAAAAAATTCTTAAATTAAGTGTATTTACCCTTAATTTGAGTAGGTAAATGAGATGAGTTTGCCAATGGAATGAGTACTGTTACTCTTAAAATAAGATAATTTGATAAAATGCACTTGAAAAAAGACAATTCAATTGTGTTTTCTTATTTCAAATCTAAATAATCTTGTTTCATTGGAAAAATGTCTCTTTTATCTACTCAATTCAAGAACAAATGCACTTATTTTAAGACAAAATGACTTATCTAGATTTCCATTTTCTCCAGTCTAAAGAACTGTTCATTGAATATGTGAATTATAAATTAATTTCTTTAAAATTAGCCTATTATCTAAGTACAACAAGAAAAGTCCAAGTGAAGGCTGCAGGGGTTTTTTTTTTCAGCGGCAGAAGATAAGATTATATCTAGTTTTTAAAAGATTATTGTGATTTTAAATTATTACAAGCAACATGAAAAAAAATGCAAATTTCATGATTTGGTTTTCTA